TGCAAGGAAAACAGTTGATGTTAAATGCCCTCAACAAGACAGGTGCTTTAGCCAGCTGCCTCCAGAATTTAACGTACTACTTACTTTTGCTGTATGGACCAATGTACCAAAACACCAACGTATCATACTAAATCAAATTTTAAATTTTGTGTAGAAGAACTACAAAAGGTACAAACATGAAATCTATGAATGTGTAAAATAATCATGTTTAAATGATAATGGTCAGCCCAAAGTCACAGTCAGGAGATTACGTAATAATGGCAAGAGATGAAGCCTGGATGAGAATTCTCCAACCATAAAGGGACATTCTTATACATTTCTAAATCCAACATTTACTACCTTAACATGAATTAAGCTAGCCTAATGTACAGATATGAGACTGATTCTGTTTTTAAAATAGCCATTTTGCATGTTTGCCAGCCCATCGCCCGCCCTCTTGCTGCTGCTGCCTCAACAGCAGTAACTTGACTACTTTGAATAAATGCTGTTCTATTCATTTATTTATTTTACCTTTAACAACAAGATTCTTAGCCAATGATGATTATATATCACTGAGGTACTGTTTACTGTTTAGACCACAAAGGTCTGCAGGAAGAATTACTTCATCCTGAATAAGACTACTTGCCCCATCATGCTCTATTCATACACATGCTGTCTAGAGAGAGAGTGAAAGACCAAAGACCAGTTTCAGTTTAATCTAGACCAGAGTTTTCCAGTTCCAGTCCTGGAGAGTCAACACTATGGCCTTTTTTATACTTTCTCTTATCTTACACTGATAATTCAACTCATAAACTGTTAAATGCTGGATTGTAAGTGTTCGAGTAGGGAAAGCATAAAATTATGCAGAGCATGTGGTCTACATGACTGGGATTAAGAACACCTGAACTAGACCATTAAGCTCTTGAACAGCTCTCACACAATAGACCCCCCTCTAAACAGACCTCAAACACCCACCATAGACACTCCTACCAGCTCTTAATCTACCAGCCATTGATGAGCAACCTACTGTGGCCGACAAGACACAATGGACAGTACAATTAAAACACATTACAAACTCAAACACACTGCAAATTCATAAACACTTTCATCAACATGACTACACTTGAACTACATTAATAAACACAGTATAGTTTATGGTTAACTGGCTATTTTGCTATTCAACATGTCATATCTGTACTACAGTATTTTTAGTCCTGGTATTGAAATCTTACAGTTACAAGCTTATTCCCATCACAATACAGTGTTGTTATCTGCTCGGGTTTCCCAGTTTATTTAGGCCTGTTTTAATTCTCTTTTGACTTAACCGTACCTACTTCGACTTACCACTTGGATGTGCTTCACACCTATATTGCACACGTGGCCAACTTACTACAGAAGGGGAGGAGGCGACAGTGAGGAGCAGATTTTTCAAATGGCACGCACTCGCCTTCAGCCTCAGTGAGCTAATCGGCTAACTTCGAAATGCAAAATGTTTTTAAGAAGTTTGAGCATAATGTACTTAATGCATGCAAGGAATTGCTTTGTATGGCTACAAACTTGGAGTAGAACCATGGTTTATTGTCTTTATTTTTGTTCTTGTTAACTGTGTAGCCTCTAGCATGCTAACAAGCCAGCTAGCTGTGTACAGTGATGAAGCTGTATCAGCAGTCATGTATAAGAGATGGGGCAGTTTGTAATTTAAAACCCAGAAAATCAGGTTATGTTTTGGAAATGATAAGTATTTTGAAGTAGCTTATTGCGCTATGGTTTACAAACAGCTTTATTTGCCTTTAAGATGGCACTGGGGATTCCCTCGAGGGTAAATTATGAGGCCAAGTGGATGAGGGCGTGTCAAACCAGATATTGAAACAAGGGGTTACTTTTACTGGTGAATGTTTCTGCTGTAATTCTGAATGGCTCTGTCTTTTATGAGTGTCCTAAAGAAACATTTCCACAGTGCTGTGACTGACTCTGCAGTGTTTCTAAAGCTAAATGTGTTTTCTGTGTTTGCAGCTTGTTTGTGAAATGCAGCACATACGTTGTCAATTTGATGAGTGTTTTCTGCTTTCGCAGCTGGGTTTTTATCTGCCGCTCATTGGGTTGAAGGGATGTTGACTGTCTCCCTAACCAAATTTGAATCTTTTTAATATAGTACATTTTTTAAGAACATATTTCTTACACCTAGGAATAACAGTTTTTGGGCTTTTGTGTCTCTATGAGGCCTATGACAGGTTCCTTGTGAACAATGCAGTGACACAACATAAGGATGCCCATCTCCAATCTATCCTATCAAACACACTAGCGGCCTGAACTGTAAACTAAAATTTGTCTGCAATACCCTTCTTTTTCAAGTTCAGCTTACTCTTGAATTAGTTAGGTTAACTTGAATCAAATGTTCTTTGTGTAATATATCAGCATAAATTAAAACAACTCCATTGTATAAAATGGACTGTTTTCGTATGGTAACAAATAAATGGCTTAGATAAGACTAAAGTCACACATTTTTGAGGACTTAACAGCTTAATGCATATTTACCATTCTGTTAGCATTCATTCAGGCTGAACTGGTAAATCTGAACACAAAACACCATCACGGTGAGAATAACACAAAAAAAAAACATCTAAAATGCAGCCAAACTTCATATTTAATATAAGAGTATACTCTGACACAAAAATAACAATTTGTAAAGAGAATGCTATTTAGAAATGTGAAAAATATAAGTTAACTGTCAGAAGCCAACGAAAATACTAAGAATGCTAGGATATGCTTATCCAAATTAACTGATTTTAACTAGATTTCCATCCATCGTTTAACTGGAAAAAAGGTGGCTGTTCGGGAACCGTCAAGGCCTTTGGCTTGACAGAGTGAATCTGGCTGACGTCATTAAGATAAACATGAGGGACTCTGTCTTTGTTGACTGAATCTCACCAATAACACTATGTTCAGTTTTGTTTCTGAGCCCTTCCAAGTCGGCATTATAATAGTTTAGGTTTGTACATGTAGAGTCTGTCTAATTTACATATAATTTGCATACAGCTATAACTGCTTTGACCAAGTCTGTGTTAGGTGGGGAAGACACCTGCAGGTGCCCTCACCCTCAACACTGTCTTTCTCTCTCTCAGTTTTAGTCTGATGATTTTCTTTAAACTTTTGTCTTAGTTAAGCCTTTGCGTGTGAGGTTAGGTGTGTTTGTGCGAATATGCTGACCTGCTGAAATTACTTTTCTCTATTTTAGGCATTCTTTTAATGTTTCCTTTTTCATGTTTTTTATGCTTCCTGGAGGCCTGAAAAACATGTTGCTTATTCATTTTTGTAACTTATTTTACTCTAAAATTCAATGGGTGGTCTTCTCTTTTTAGTTTTGGGGTATATCACATCACAGAAATTATGAATAGATGTTTTCATACATTCCTAAATTTTTATCTTAGTTATGCTGTTGTAAATTACCCAAAAGGGTCTTCTGAGCCACCATAGCACCCCCACCCAGACAAGACAAGCTACTACTACGAAGTACTTCATCTTGTTTTAGAACATGCTACTATTTTTTCATCACATGTGCACATATATTATTCCCCATCTTGGATGACATCAGCAAATCAGTCAATATTTCTGCACTTACTAAAGCATGTTCAATATTTTTTATAAGATCTGTTTGATGTGTTCACAAACTGTCAATGGAGCAGACAGTAATGCACATAAAGGACTCATGTTCACAGTTTGTTTAAAAATGAAGATAACATTAGTGCACAAAAGAACAGAAACACATGAGATATGCCATGATTCACAAAGCTTGTTTCAAAAGTTGGCTGGAAAAAAAATAATTTTCATCCACGAGAAATAACAGCATTATAGCATTATTACCACAATAAATTAATTCACAGGTTTTCCAAGTAGCACATATAAAGTATAAATCATAAATAAATCAGAAACAAACTGCTCTACGTTTGCCAGACATATCTGGGAAAACATTATCAACCAAATTATTGGTGTCAGAATCTGGAAAATGACAGTTTTCTCACTTGTAAACTGCGCTCGAACAGATTTAGGCTACAGTGAGTAAAAACAGGATTCTAGGAGACACGATGTGACGTATAACTCGACCTTGAACCTTTTACACGAGTGAAAAACGGTAAACTTAAAAGTGAATGTAAAAAAAAAAAAAATACCTGACTCGCTTCTATTAGATCTGAACAATACATTATTAGTCCTGAACAATACATCACACCCCCTCCATGACCTACTGGTCAGACAGCAGAGCACCTTCAGCAACAGACTCATTCAGCTCCGCTGTAGCAAGGAACAGGAGGTCGTTCGTACCAACAGCGATCGCACTGTATAACATCTTATCACCGTGCAGGGACATTATTGTACACTGAGCCACTCATATTGCACTGCCGCTTTGTTTACTTTGTGTATCATATCTGATACTGCACTGCCACTTTGTTTATTTGTCCACTAATATTACACATTGCACTGTCACTTTGTTTATGCATCTGTACATTACTGTCATTGTTTAGTATATTTTATTCTATTATTTATGTCTACTTTCATTTTATATATCTGTAAACAGTGTACGGCAATACTTTGCTCCTGTTCATTTTGCTGTTATTTACTCTTTACTGTGCTTTGTACTGCTGCAGTAGAAGAATTTCCCTCTGGTATTATCTATCTATCCTTGTATCTATCTATCTAGATCTGTATGCCTTTTTACACATAAAAAGATGGGACCCGTATTGTCCATATCTCCACGCTTTCTTCTTTACGCTTTCTTTTTTACGGTGACGTTCTCTATGAACAACAAGCATCGTCTTGTTTACTAGTTAACCATCAGGTACATACAGCCTTCTGATGAGCACTTATGTAGCGTAACATCACTCAGCCACGTCTGAGTGAAGCTGCTTCTGTGTTGGCGAATCTATTTTAAACGCATCAAATCTTGTCAAAACTCAAATGTGTCTCCAGCTGTTTGTCTGAGAGTGAATGAAGAACAGTGAGTGTTAAAGTGTCGGACAGCTTCCTACCTTCAACAGTTCAGCTCTTGTTTCTGATCCTCTATATTCCTCAGTACATGAGCGCGGAGGCGTGGTCTACGGACTACAACGCAATCTTCTGCTTCTCCGCTTTAGTGCAGTTGGAGAAGTTATACTTACAGCGCCACCACCTGACTTGAAGCAGCTTAACGCTGGAACCATCACGGAAACAGGCGGAACAGTCTTGTATTCAGTCAAGCTCCACCTCCAGTGCTCTGATTGGGTAATAGCAAGTGTTCAACTTCGGGCTAAAAATTGGAGGCTTTGAATAGGACATGTTTTGTAACTACTAAACAGGTTTTAGAGAAAATAAATACTACTATAACAAAAAAATAATTTAATCTCACTACAAGAATTCCAACCTAAAATGCAAAAGATGTAATGGTTATAATATGATTAGAGAAGAAAACTCCTCAAGTGATAGAGGAGGGTACATTAAAGGTCCAGTAAGCAATTTTAATCTAATACACTTTTTGTCAAATTTAGCAAATATCCCTCACGGTCTGTTAGCTGTCTGTCTACGTGCACGCTGGAAGAAATCCAGTGTTGGTACACAGCTCTGGGAAATAAACAAACTGTCTCGGACTGAGCCACACAACACCATTGCAGCCAATCACAGCAAGAGGGGGTGTTCAAGCTCGTGCTCGTGCACAGGACAGGGGGATGAGGAGGGGCTAAGTACCGAAGTCCACACATTCTCAAGAAGGAAAGATGGCTAAGAAACAGCTAAAGAGGAGAAAACCTGAAGAACAACGACTGAGAAAGAAATACCTAGATCAGGCATGGGTGAAGAGTTGTGTTTACATCAGTGAGGCATTTCAACGGTGGAGAGAGCTGAACGAGGCTGAAGTTGCTTCCTATCTGCCAGCTTCTTGTTCAAATTCTACCTTAAATAGTGAAGCAATTCAAACAAGATAATGGCGAAAAAGAAGCTAATTTCTGCTTCATCGAAAGTTGAAAGGCATGAAAGGAGATGAGGAGTTTGCTCTGTTTCTGCATATCAGGTTCACATTAACTTATTTTTGCTGTTTTCCTGTTTGCTAATGCGGCTATCAACGATTGCTAAGCAGTGATCGAAGGGCTGAGGAAAATGGGGCAGGTTTTAGATGGTCTGATTGGCTCAGTCCCTGATGTTGGCAGTCTAGTCGCACACTTTTCTTGTAGTACAGCACACACCTTTTGTCATATACTGGACACTGCATTGTATACTACTGATGAAGAATAGCATGCAGTATACAGTATATACTTATGCAGTATGCAGTACACAGTATGCTACTTTGAACAGCTCCACATTTTTTTCATTCGATCCGATCCTGTGTAATACCAAGGCTAATATCCAATACCAATACAGATATTTTGAATTTGACAATGACAAATGGTAAATGTGAGCAAAATCATCACAGAAAGTCTGTCATTAATATTAATCTTTCAGAAATCAGAAGTCCCTTTTTTGCTTCTTTTTTAATAACATCACTTAATAAGATAGCTCTGACAGCATATGTCATCCAGGTATCCTTGGTGTACTGGAGAAATTCATGTTGGTCACATACTGCTTACTACTTTAGGGCACAATCAGTATGCGAGCAGTATGTTGTAGGCTATATTTAAGACAGCCAATGGAATGGCCCATCCAGACTATGCTATGACTCATAAGTGCTCAAAAATATAACAGCAGTGTTAAAATGTTTTATGCACTTCTTTGGTCAGGAAATGAATGCATTCTTCTATATAACTATTTACAAAGTATGAAATTGCTCAATTGCTCCATATAGACCTTTCTATCAGTCATTGCGTCATCACATCCAGCTGTAAATAGTGGCGTTATCTAACTTCTGCCTGCACCGTTTAACAGAGCAGCAATGAAGTGTTGCCAGTTTTCAGTCCGCCTCAAAATGTTTTCTTTGGCCTTAGTGAGGATAACACTGCTACTCACTTTAACCTCACCACAAGCATAGGGCCTAGCTCTAAAACTGCTATCATTTACTCTATCTACAGAAGCCTAAGGCTTACACTATGTACATGATAAGCCTGAGGTCAAGCTGAAAGGCTACTTTTGCTTACACTACCTTCATCATGAGCCTAAGACTTAAAATACACATAGAGTAAGTAACAGGACCTATAGAGCTAGGCCTTAGATTTATGCTTTACGTTAACTTCCTCACAAACCTAAGGCCTTGCTCTGAAACCACTGTTACTGATTTCACTACAATAAAGGCATGAGGCCTAGCTGAAAGCCTTTTTTGCTTACTCTGACTTCATCATAAGCCAAACGCCTCCTTTTATTCATGCTGTCTACATCAGGAGCCTCATACCTAACTAGAAGCCTACTCATTAACCTGCCTTTACTTACTTTGACCTCATCATAAGCCTGAGGCATAGATGTGAGCCTACATATGCTCATGCTAACCACTTCCAAAGCTTGAAGCTGAGCCCCGTACCTACTATTGCTTTATAAAACTTCATCTTACGCCTGGGGCCTAGCTTTAAATCTACTCGTACATACACTCCAACTATGATATAAGTCTGAGGCCTAGTTGGAAGCCTCATTTTGCTTATTCTGACTTCGTCATAAGCCAAAGGCCTTGTCCTTAATCTACCTTGACATTCTCCAGCTTCCCCATAAACTGAAGGCCAAGCTCTAAACCTAATATTACAGGCCCAGTTGAAAGGCAAAGAATTTGGCTTACTCAAACTACATCATCAGCTGAAGGCCTAGCTCTTTTCCTGCTTTCATTTCTCCAGCTTCATCATAAGTCTAATGGCTCTCTATAGATCTCTGTTCACTCACTCTAACTCTATCACTTTCACATTCTCTAACTCCAACTTAAACCGAAGGCCTAGCTCTTTACCAGCTAACCTCTCTCTCTGCTGCAAGGATGGACAGACTTTACAGAACACTGTCAAAAAATCACATTTAACTTTATGAGAAACTGTAGTGAACTTTCTTTAGAGTGGCTTCATAACGCTGTTTAAAATGTTTATGACCAATGTCGTTGTAGCAAATTGAAACTAAGAAGAAACAACAACAAGTATATTACCGACATAAAAATTTAAGTGAAAAGTAGAGTCTAAAAAAAATTTGATTTTTCTTTGAAGGCCATAACATAATCAATCCCAGCTGGCACGTGACCGACCTTCAATGTTGAAATATGGTTAAAATAATGTCAGTTGTCGTTTCAATGTTGAAAAAACATTAATATTAAATGGTTGTGAAAAGGTTCACAAAATACTATCAAATAGTATAGTAAAAAATAAATCAACATTGAAATTTCAACTTTAAATCAACATAATATCAAGCATTCTGCTTTATAAATATGATCATTATTATTAGTTTATTAGCATTTTTTATATTTTCATCATAAGACCATTTCAAAAATCAAAATTTATATGTTAAAAATAGCAAACAACAGCAACAATAATAGTAAATGGAAAATGAAGTTTGTGGAAAAAAAGCTGGCTTGCTGACCATTGTAACAACACAAAAACTATGTCATTTTTTTTTCATCTTATCTGTTTTTTATTTTGTAACTCTTCTTATTATTTTTATATTTTAATCTCTTACTTGTTGTGTTGTTTATGTGTGTGCTGATTTGACGTACAGCACTTTGGTCAACACAAGTTGTTTCAAGAATGCTTGAGTGGGAACAGCGTTTAGAGCTTCAGGAAACTTGGGAAGTCTTCAAAATGCAAAATCCAACAAACAAACAAACAAATAGACAAATTAATTAATAGAGTAAGAAGTAGAAATTAGTTGTACATTACCTTATATATTGTGTCTGATATTAAATCTCATATTATGCAAAGTGTGTGCTTGTTTATTAATAACAATACTAAATATTTTACAGTCTAATAGTCTATATGTGGAAAACCCTGTTATCTAGAGTCTCCAGATCTGTTCTTATATGAAATCTGCAGTGTGCAGATTTGATCCTCTGGGCCTCTAAAGCTGCACTTATAACCCATACATCTCTACAGAAGCGTGATATCAATATAAACCTCAATATAAAGTACTTAATTTACCTTTTTACAGTGTTGACAGCCTCTCCATCATCTGCAGGACACACGCTCTTGTTCCGTTCATAATAGCACAAGCCTCATTTTTAGACAAATGAAAGCTGCACCACTTGATGCATTTACTTGTAAGAGCTTTGAGTTATTATGCTGGAAAATGTTTGAGATCAGTGAAAATGGTGGCGTCTGTTTCTTCCTTTGGTTTCTCAGTGTGACAGAATATTTTTCTTTTCATCTAAAATAATCATTTGTAAATAATTGATCTTACCAGTTTGTATCGTATTCGTGGCATCGTATTCACCGCTTCACACACATCTAAAGAACACAGAGCGATACGCTGTAGAGTCTTTTAGAAAATTTGTGAGGTTGCATAAATAAAATGGGAAATACAGTGTGTCTAATGCACTTTCTCGGACTTTATTTTTACAGATTTCTTACTCCACAACAGTGTGTTTCTTTTACATTCCAGTGTTTGCCTTGTGTGTTTTCCTTTATACCATAGTGTGTGCTGTTTTCTCTGTAGTGTCCGTTGTGCGTGGCTTCGCCTCCTGTGCCTTGGTTTCCGTCACCTACACCCAGCACGCCAAGAGGGAGACCATTACCGACATTGATGTGGTGTACACCCTGAAACTTCAGGGACGCACCCTGTACGGCTTCGGAGGTTGAACACTCAACTCGGACAACGCAAAACCCAACGGCTCTTTCAAGAGCCCTCATAGACCCACCAGAAGAGCTTTTCCGTATGACCATTCAGTAATAATCAAAACAACAGACTTTCCATTATAACAAAAACTTACTATACTTAGAATATGCCTAATAGGGACATTCATAATGTACACGACACACAGTACAACTAAGAATGCATGGGAAGGTGAACAAAGGAGAAGTCTTCAGTTGGTGGGGGCAGGGGAAGATGAGGAGGAGGCGGAGGAAGATGGGGATGGGGGATGGGGTGGGCGGAGTTGTTAGTTGTCCGCCTAGTGAGACGTTAATTGTCGTCCAATGATCGTTTGATGGCAATCAGAAGGGTGGAGCTATAATTTGAATATCGGGGTCTAGATAAGCCGCTGCCGGGCGCCCGTCCTCGTTCTTTTGTTTTATTCGAAGACGAGATAGTCATGCCTGAGCCAGCCAAGTCCGCACCAAAAAAGGGATCCAAGAAAGCCGTGACCAAGACGGCTGGTAAGGGAGGAAAGAAGCGCAGAAAGTCCCGGAAGGAGAGCTATGCTATCTATGTGTACAAGGTGCTAAAGCAGGTCCACCCTGACACCGGTATTTCTTCTAAGGCGATGGGCATCATGAACTCGTTCGTCAACGACGTCTTCGAGCGTATCGCCGGTGAGTCGTCCCGTTTGGCTCATTACAACAAACGCTCCACCATCACCTCCAGGGAGATCCAGACCGCCGTACGCCTTCTTCTTCCCGGTGAGCTGGCCAAGCACGCCGTGTCCGAGGGAACCAAGGCCGTCACCAAGTACACCAGCTCCAAGTAAAATTAAATTAGTTAATTAGTTAATTAAACCCAACGGTTCTTTTAAGAGCCACCCACATTTTCACCCAAAGAACCATTCTCCGTTTTGTGAATGTGAAGGAAAGCAGGATATTTCTTAGAAGGTAGGGCGAAATTATAAAATAGTTCTGCCCCATTAGTTTTCCTGCATAATTACTTGGTCTGCCCGTTACTCTATTGTGTGGGTAATGGTAAGGTTTGTAGTAAAATAATGTGTAAGTGCAAATGAGTTTAACCATTGTGTGTGTGTGTGTGTGTGTGTGTGTGTGCATGTGCGAGTTCCAGCATCTGATAGATCTGCAGACACTGGCCTTATGCAAGCATGCTGTGTAAAATATAGGAAACATCGAGAGAATTAGTTTTCGGTTTTAATGCAACTAAACCTCATTTTGATTTTTGCCTTTCTTTACATGTAGTATTCATGAATAAAAATCATTGTGTGCACATTCATGTATGTTTGTTTTATAAGAACTGTTTACTTACACATTCATTTAATGTGTAATGAGTATGTTACAGTAGGTTAGATGCTAGGCCTTAAGTCTGTGATGTAGAGTCAGGCATTAGGCTCATGATGCAGTTAGAGTAAGTAAAAGTCAGCCTTAGGCTAATGCTAAAGTGCCACTGAGTACAGGCAGGTTAAGAGCTAAGCCTTAGGCTATTGCTAATGGTAGAGTAAGCAAAAGTAGTTTTATATAGGTTTATCACTAAGCCTCTGCCTTCTAAAGTATTCAGAGTAAGTAAAGGTAGCTTATGTAGATAGAATTAATGTATGGCAAGGCCTTAGGCTTCAGAAGAAGAGTGAACAAAATAAGCTTTCAAGCTAGGCCCCAGGCTTAAAATGTAGACTGTAATTGAGAGTAGGTTAGCGTGTGTAGCAGAAGCTGTGGAGCTACAGTTAAATGATGTTAAAGTTAACTTGTTGTAGTTAGAGGAGGCCCAATTAGTCTTACAGCTAAGCCTCAAGCTTATCATGTAGTTAGAGTAACAGTAAATTTTGAGTTAGGCCTTTTTTGAGGTTTATCATGTAGTTATTAGATAAAATTAAAGTAGATTCAGGGCAAGACCTTGACTATTGCTGAAGTCAGAGTAAGGTAACCTTACATAGTTTCTTTGATTATCTTTCACATCATAATTAACATCATTAGTTTTTGTTGTCAAGAATGATTTCATTATTTCCAAACCAAGAAGTAAAATATATTTTCAAAGATAATCATAGGCCAAGGCCTTTAAACTTTATTCATGTTTTGTATGACTACAATTCAATATAGTTACAACTAAGTCTCTATGTATGTGCTTTTCTCTTTCAAGGACATTTTAGTTCTTAGATGGAAGAAATAGGTTCTTCTCTGTGTGTGTGCCTCTCCTAGATGAGGCCTACTTGGCACACACCACTGCACTTTTGCATTTACACTCAGGGTCACCGACACACACACAGAGAAAAAGCTGCACGCGCGGCCAAGAAAGTCGCTAAGTCTCCTAAGAAAGCCAAGAAGCCGGCGGCCAAGACCCCGAAGAAGACAAAGACCGTCAAGCCCAAAGCAGCAAAAAAGGCCGCCTCCAAGAAGTAAACATGCCGTTCACCTTCATGTCCAGTTTCCCCCATTGAAAAACTGCTCTTTTAAGAGCCACCCACATATTCCTCTCAAAGAGTTAGATTTTCCTTCGTGCTGCACATACAAAGTCATTACTAGTCGGTAGTGATATTATAGAAAAGCGCCAGACTCGACATTATAATCGAGTTGCAATTTGTATTTACATGGATGAGAACAGGAGCTGAAATGGGGTAGAAAAACAGCGAGGAAACAGGGACTTTGTTTCCTTCTTTCTCTTCATCTCTTTCTATAATAATAATAATAATAATACAAAACCAAGATTGATGGCTATAAAACAAGTAAGAAGAGAGTGTTATCAATTGTATAAAAGTATATACAATAATGAAACAAAACCTATTTCATATGTATCTGCAGCACATAACAAAACAGAAAAAAGTTAATTATTAAATGTATTTTTGTAATTTAGAAGTAAAAAAGGACACCTATAGTACATATATACATATATAACAGGGTAAAAAGAAAGGTTGTGGTTTGGTGGTCACTCACTGTCCTGGAGCGAATAACACTCGTATATAACTGGCTACAGATGGATGGACACACACACACGAGCGGGTGAAGCAGAGGGCTTGGAGAAGAACAGTGGGCGGACCCTAAAGTTTGACGACGCTAATATGATTGGTTGTTGGATGCCATCGCATTTTAGCCAATAGAAACGTAGCAGCTTTGACTATATGAAGGGCGATCGGAAACCGTTGTCCTTTATTTCAGTTTAGTTCAGCGAGTTTAACGGAAGTGTAAGATGAGTGGAAGAGGGAAAACCGGAGGTAAGGCTAGGGCCAAGGCCAAGACTCGCTCATCCCGCGCTGGCCTGCAGTTTCCTGTGGGCCGTGTTCACAGGCTTCTGCGCAAAGGTAACTATGCTGAGCGCGTCGGCGCCGGTGCTCCCGTCTACTTGGCAGCCGTGCTGGAGTATCTGACCGCTGAGATCCTCGAGTTGGCCGGCAACGCCGCTCGCGACAACAAGAAGACCCGTATCATTCCTCGTCATCTGCAGTTGGCCGTACGTAACGACGAGGAGTTGAACAAACTCCTTGGAGGAGTGACCATCGCTCAGGGTGGCGTGCTGCCCAACATTCAGGCTGTACTGCTGCCCAAGAAGACCGAGAAGGCGGCCAAGACCAAGTAAACTAAATTTCTCCGCTGAATTTTAAACCCAAAGGCTCTTTTAAGAGCCACCCATCATAGCAAAAAAAGTGCAGTTTTTTTACTTATCTTTTTTTTCCATGCAGAAAAGCAGTTGTCGATCGTCACAGGTTATTGTGTGTACATTAGAATAAAATAAAAGGATCACAGCATCACCATGTCCTACGATTGCATACTGAATAAAATTTAGCGGTTCTACTCGAACACATAAAGCGAATAAACCTACATGAACGTCTGTATAACTGCGCGAGTGAAGGTGAAATAGCAGGCGTGTAATAATGAATGAACAAAAAAATCTGAGTAACATTACACACGACGTGTAGGAAAGAATAAAAATAATGGTGGTACAGGAGCCCGCCAAGGCGTTGGGGCAGTGTCTTGTGATTTGAAAATGTTGACGCGGCAGAAGACGCCCAATAGCGTTTAGCCAACGCGTGGGGAGCCGTTCAATGGGAGGCGGGCACATTCAAGACGCCCAATAAGTGGCGAGCAGCTCGAACGCTTAAAAGGGCCGTGGTGTGTGCACGAACTCATTCCGTATCTTCATTAGAGAAACAGAGAGTTTGACATGGCAAGAACTAAGCAGACCGCTCGTAAGTCCACCGGTGGCAAAGCCCCGAGGAAGCAGCTGGCTACCAAGGCTGCTCGTAAGAGCGCCCCGGCTACTGGCGGTGTGAAGAAGCCTCACCGTTACAGGCCTGGCACTGTGGCTCTGAGGGAAATCCGCCGTTATCAGAAATCCACAGAGCTGTTGATCCGCAAGCTGCCCTTCCAGCGCCTGGTGCGTGAGATCGCTCAGGATTTCAAGACCGATCTCCGCTTTCAGAGCTCTGCCGTCATGGCCCTGCAGGAGGCTAGCGAGGCGTACTTGGTGGGTCTGTTCGAGGATACTAATCTGTGCGCCATTCATGCCAAGAGAGTCACCATCATGCCTAAGGACATCCAGTTGGCCCGCCGTATCCGCGGAGAGCGCGCTTAAATGAATTGGAGTGCTCCCAAGTTGTACCAGAACACCCAAAAGGCTCTTTTAAGAGCCACCTAACTCTTGCAGTGCAAAAGAGCAGGTGTTCTAGCAAACCCCGAGTTCTGTTATGTGCTGTGATAACAACTGATATGTGAAAAGTACTCGTGTGACACTGCTTATATTTTAGCAGCTGATACTCATTCCGTCTTTGAGCAGTGTCCGTAGTGTAGTGAAGTAGTTTAGAGCCTCTCCGTTATAATAAGGGAAACAAACTCACATAACAGAAAAAGCTTTTCAAGCGGAAACGCGGGTGGCTCTTAAAAGAGCCGTTGGGTTAAATTAAGTCTTGCCAACTTTTTACTTGGAGCTGGTGTACTTGGTGACGGCCTTGGTGCCCTCGGACACGGCGTGCTTGGCCAGCTCACCGGGAAGAAGCAGGCGCACGGCGGTCTGGATCTCCCTGGAGGTGATGGTGGAGCGTTTGTTGTAATGAGCCAAACGGGACGCCTCACCAGCGATACGCTCGAAGATGTCATTGACGAACGAGTTCATGATGCCCATCGCTTTGGAGGAAATACCGGTGTCGGGGTGGACCTGCTTCAGTACCTTATACACGTAAATAGCATAGCTCTCTTTCCTGGACTTCCTGCGCTTCTTGCCTCCTTTACCAGCCGTCTTGGTCACGGCTTTCTTGGATCCCTTTTTTGGTGCGGACTTGGCTGCCTCAGGCATAACTATCTCGTCTTCGAATAAAACTGACTAATGAATAATAGAGCCCGGCACCGGCTTTTCTAGACTCGCTTATTCAAATTATAAGCTCCGACCCTTCTAAATGCAGACAAACGATCATTGGATGGACAATCAATGGTTCGATTTGTGGACAACTCCCAGCTTTCCTCCACCCCTTTTCCTCCTCCTCTCCCCTCCTCTCCCCTCCGTGGCGGAGCCACGCACTACAGACATTACAGAGAAAACAGCACACATGATGGAATCAAGGAAAACACACAAGGCAAACATTGCCATGAAATAAATATCACTCGTATTATTATAACTATCACTATTACCAATACAATTTTTAGTAGTAACATCGCAATGAAATAAATAAAATAAAGAAATAAAATTCAACACAATCTCATTCAAAACGATGTAATGTAGTTTAGCTTCACAAACTGAACGTAAGTGCAAGATGAGTGGAAGAGGAAAAACCGGCGGTTGCTGAACTTTGTATTGTTAATTTAGTTCAGTGCCTTGCGGCTCTGAATTTGAACTTATTTCTTCCCTATTTTTGATCCCAAGCTCAAAGTGAACTATGAAATCTAACAAAACTTTGAAGTTTAAAGAAACTATGTCCCAGAGGGGAGCCCCCCCACCAGTGGTGGGGAGGCATTGGGCTAAACTACGCTATGTGGCCCCTGGAGAAGCTCCAAATCGTTCAGAAGTGGGATCTCAGCTGTTACGGAGCCAATGGATAAATGCACAAGATATCCATTCATTTATAGCACTTCCAAATCGCAAAGACTTTGAAATAATTTTTCTTCAGGACAGAGCTTTGCAGAGTTTTACTCAAATCTTTAATGCTGGTGTTGGAAATGGTTTCTGGAAGGATTGGGAGCTGGACACCTCTGCTCCACAAGATGTTAGATTCATCCATGTGAAGTTCTGGACCGGCAAGGTGGCGGATGCTGATGTTGAGCAGTACCTACGCAGGTACTGTGAGATCTTACAGCCTGTGTTTAAACCTCTGGATCAGTTTGGCCTGTGGTATGGAGTCCGCCGTTATAAAGTGAAGCTACATCATAATCCTGATGGTAGCCTTTACCAGATTCCAAATTCGATCGCTTTGGGGCCGTATAACGGCAGGATCTCATACCCTGGTCAGGTTCAGAGGTGCTACATCTGTGGTTCCCAAGACCATCAAGTGAAAGACTGTGAGGCCTTGAAGTGTTGGAAGTGCGGGGAGCTTGGGCATAAAGGTAAAGAGTGCAAAAACACAGAACTATGCGATTTGTGCCAGGAACGAGGCCACACTTACTTTAAATGCCCAAGCTCTTATAGCAATAAAGCACGTGGACCAACACCAAAGCAATCTACTGACATCAACACAGCTCAAAATGGAGAACATCAGGAGGACACGGCACCTCAAACCAGTGAGGTCATCCAAGAAGCCCAGGACAGCATTGAGGGTCCAGCTCAGATTAACAATGGAAGAGAGGAAAACTCTGCAAGTTCCACCAGCGACAGCTCTGACACCAGCTCCAGTGGCAGCAGTGATTCCAATTCAGACGACTCAGATTCCAGCGAGGGGATTCTTCCCCCATCGGGACATCAGAAAGTGTCACCTGGACAAGAAGGCACCGGAGCAGGAATGACGTATGGACAGCAGTTACAGGAGAACAAAGGTGATGCTGTTCCTCTTACTCCTCACATTTCTAACAGTCTTCACAGTGGAAGTCTTCCCTCCACAAAGTCTAGCACTTCCATTCTAAGTGTGGCTAAGAAGCGCAGAAAAAGAGCGACCATACCAAGTTCCAGTGTTCAGAAAAAAATGAAGGAATAAGAACTTTTTGAACATAGAGACAAAACCGTATATTATGTACTATTTCTTATTCTTTAAATGTCTGTTAATATCATATCTATTAATGTTAGAGGAGTACGCACAGAACGATATAGAAAGATGAAAGTAGAGAGTTTAAACAACAAAAAATGTGACATTATATGTGCACAAGAGTTGAGGTTGAAGGATAATAATGACATTAATAGCGTTAAGGAAATGTGGTGTGGGGGTCCTGCCATCTTGTCTGTGGGTGAGGACAGTGCTGACGGGGTGGGAATCTTCTTCAAACACGATGCTGAGATTATTAAAAGTAGAGAAATTGTGCCCGGCAGGTTACTATTAGTAGATTGTGTGTACAGGAATGTTAAGTTAAGAATTGTTAATATATATACACCCCCTGACAGAGCTGGCAAGATGAGATTATTTTATAAACTGTATGAGCTACTTTGTGTGGGATTTGGGGTTATATTGTGTGGAGATTTTAACGTTATAACAGAAGAAAATGATAGAATACCAATTAAAGACATTCCCCTGTCTAGAGATGGGAAACTTCTTAAAAAAGTGTGTGACACGTGTAAAATGGTAGATGCCTTTAGGGAAATCTACCTAAATAAACCAGGCTGCACACGGATAGATAGTCATGTTAAAACCAGAATAGACGGAGTTTATGTGTCTAGTAACATTAAGGTTTCGTATTATAAAACTGAGTGTTTGGTAGAATCTGATCATTTGGCAGTGAATGTGAGGATGAATTTGGGTGTTAATGAACAGCGAGGATACTGGAAACTGAATACAAAATGTTTAAAGAATAAAGAAAGGGTTTTAGGGCTAAAGCAAGAGATTAAAAGGATTAAAGATCTGAAGGTTTTAACACGCTCAGGGATTGATATGTAGTTGGTTTTCAAAAAACAAGTACAGTCGTTTTTTAAATATAAATGTAAGGAATTAAATAAAGAGAGAAATGAGTATTATAATACCTTAATGCTAGAATTTGTGGAATTACAAAGCAAACAACATCGAAATGCAGAAGATGAAGATGAATTATCTAAAATTAAATCAGAATTATCGCAGATAAATAATGAATTTTTTTTAAATGTACAGCTTCAAGCAGGTTTACGTACCGACTTAACAGGAAATGCACAAAATGTAATCAAAAAACTTAATGAAAAGAGAGAAAATAAAATAATTAGAGGAATAAAAGATGATCATGGTAACAAACGTACAATAAAAGGTCGTTTTATGATTGATAATTTATGCATAGTTAGGGACCTCATTTCAGACGAGCAAACTGAGGACTTCTGTCTAATCAGTCTGGACCAGAAAAAGGCTTTTGATTTTGTTTCGAGGGAGTACTTGTGGCAAGTGATGGAGTGCTATGGTTATCCTCTAAAATTCATAGATACGGTGAAAGTCTTGTATAAGAAATCAATAGTTCAGATTAATGTAAATGGAGTTTTAACATAAAGGTTTGAGATTCACATAGGGGTTAAACAGGGATGCCCTCTGAGTGCTGCACTCTATATCATGGCCATAAGTCCTCTTTTGAACAAAATCAAGCAGGACCCTCGTATTTCTGGGGTGACTAATAAATTGGGTGCACAGGTCAAAACCTCGGCTTATGCAGACGATATAACAGTGTTTGTTAAAAGTCAGAGTGAATTTAATGTGGTATATGAACATTTTAAAAACTATGAAGAGGTCGCTGGGGCGAAACTAAACACAGATAAGACGGAGGGAATATGGCTGGGTGGAAATAAACCGCCTCACATGAGTTTAGATATGAAGGAAGAGATCAAAACAGAGCTTGAACAATGGAAAGTCTCAAATTCTAAAACCAAGAGCCAAATTATTAAAACTTTTGTTTTGTCCAAATTGCTGTTCTTAGCCACAGTTTCCCCCCCCAATGGTAAATGCATCATGAAGCTAAATAAAATGTGTGTGCGATTCATTTGGGGCACTTCAAGGGAAGTCACTAAAAGGGAAATTTTATATAAATCTAAAACTTTAGGGGGTCTCGGTGCAATGGACATTGGTTTGAAACTTAAAATAGCTTATTGTAAAATAGTAGCACAGGCAATAAAGAGATGTGCAGTGTGGCTGGGGGACACTAGAAGTTGGGGGAAAAAGAAAGGAAAGGCAAGAAAAAATGTTCCATACCACAAATTAATATATGGCAATTTTACTTTTAAATATGCAAAGCTTAAGATTGACTAGTGTAACTTTTCTAGTAAAAAGATCTATAACGTTATAAGCGAACACATCTATGAAGGTCTCTATCAACATAAACATCTCAATGAAGCAGAGAGTAAAATATGTATCAGAAACATCCAATCAGCGCACATCTCTGAGAACATGAGGGACATAGCATGGCTAATCAGTGTGGGAAGATTAGCTGTACGATGTGTTGTTAAGTGGAGCTGCTACGTTACCACGAAACTATGTCCAGCTGCTAACTGTGATGAAGATGAGACTATTGAACATCTGTTAATTCACTGCAAACGATCTGTGGATGTGTGGAAAAGACTAAAAGCTCTAGGTGTTAAATTCAATATAAATGTTAAGTCTATAATGTTTGGAAATTTTGAGGAAAGATTGTCAAAGAATGTTAAAGATTTTTATTGGTTGATTGTATTACTAACTGCAAACTTTGGAAAACAAGATGTAAAATGGTAATGCAACAGATGCAAATCCCCACAGAAGTTGCTTTTTAAACAGAGAACTTTTGAACTGAAACGCCTGTGAACAATGGACAGAAAATCAAAATATCCCTGGACTCTGCTGGACTTTTTCTCATTTAAATTAATTTTAAATTTGTGTATAATTGTATTTTAGATGGATTTGTTGTGTTTGTGTGTAAAATGGTATTCATGTGACTTTGTATTGATTTTTGATATGTATGTAATTGAAATATTTAATAAAGTTTATTTAAAAAGGAA